CTCATGTATTAGTCTTTTGCTGTAATCAATATTTGTAATGATAGCTAAGTCATATTTTGTAATACTTACACGGTTAAGAATGATTTCTAACTAATGCATGTTGATTTCTTTTGATGATGGTTCATGAGTATTTAATTAAGGTGATTTATTGTGTTTTGCTGAGAATTAGCGAGTTATGTTTATGACCTTGCCCTTGGGGTCGTGACAATCTGAATTCAATAACAGAAGAATAGAAAATAAAAGTGTGAATATATGTGATATTTAATTATAAAAAATATGAGTGTATGTATTATAGAAAATATTTATATTTCTACATCGAGATCAACAAAGAATTATATCAATATTGACATACTAGAAGTTACTCAATTTATAAATTCATTTAGATATTGAGATTATTTAAAATCTCTTTATTACGTTAATTATTGCTAATTCTTTACTTTTTATTTTAACCATATTTTCAATTATTTATTATCACTTTGTTGAAGGAATTTTAATGATATGCATATTACTCACAATGTTGATGATACAATATCTATTATTCTTCATAAGTTAGAAAATTTTAAAAACAAATATAAAATCTTGACAATGGCAAAACCAAAGAGTGATATGATAATTTTAATCTCTCTTATACTTTGTTTACTTTGTTCTTCTTATTTATTTTTTAAACTAATTTTTTAATTAATTTTCAGAATACCGTAATTAGTTGTATTACAACTGTGAACAATGTAATGCTTAAAAATAGTTGGTATTATATTTCTTGCCCCCATTGGAAGAAGAAAATTTCTTTCACAACTACAAATTTTAAATGTGAATTATGTTATAAAGACGTTGAGTATCTAATGACAAGATAATTAATTTATCACTATGTATTCTAATTTTTAAATTTTTATATTAAAATAAATTGAATTATATATTATGACCTTAATTTATATACATTACGAGTTTCTTCTTGAACTTGATGTTAAAGATTCTACGGATTCAACTATATTTGTCTTATTTGATGAAGTTGTTGAATAATTAGCACAAGTAAAATTAAAAGATCTTATTGTAATATATAAAATTGTAAGCAAATGTGTTAATTTCTAACTTCTTAAAAAATCTAATCAAATAATTGATTATATAAATAAAATATATTAAAACATATAACTATTTTTATGTGATAATTTTTTTAAAAGTGATGATGAAGTGTTAAGTTGTCTCCACAACTTTTAAAGATTATTGGCACTTGACATATTGTTTAAATAAAAATGAGTACTTACTTTAAAAGTTGTGAAAGATAAAGTTTCACTGTAAATAAAATTGTGATGAATTGGAGTTTCATTATTTTCATTTATAATGTTTATAATACAATGATGAATAACTTTATTTTCATTGTTTCATATTTATAGATTGAGAAGGAAGAAGGTTTAGACAATACAAATACAAAAACAAAAGAAAATGATTTGGCAATAAGTTGTTTACCTATATCTCTAACTATAGAAACACCAAATTTACCAAAAAGAATGAGAAAATTGTATTATTCAAATTTCTTATATTAGTAATTTATATTTGATATTTTTTTTTGGTTGTAACTTAAAGAAAATAAAGTAAAAAATGATGAACAAAAGGTAACAATGAAAGATTTAAAAAATTGAACTATTTTTATTGCAGTACTATATAAATACTTTTAATATTGTGTAGAATCTAAAAAGTAAAATGTCATCAAATATTTAAGTCTTTTATAAAATAATTTTGTTATTTTATTATATATATCTCTTTTACTTTATTATTATTATTATTATATATATATATATATATATATATTATGTATTAACTTTGTTTATAGACAAATCTTATATGTGATTTATAAATTTTATATTATATCAATATTTGTAAATTTAATTAATATAAAGATTAATTTTTATATTATATACAACAATTCTTCTCTTTTAGTTTCTACTATTTAATTTTTTTAGAAAATAATTTAATAGAAATTGATATATCATAATTGTGTATAACCTATTAACATAGACAATATTTTATTTATATTTTATATTATAATAATTATAATGACAAATTTTATTTTTTTAAATTAAAAAATTAACAATATTTATACTTAATAATTTTGTTGCAATATTTTTTTTATAAAATACTAAAATAATGATGATAAATTCAAAATTTTTCAATTAAAACTAATTAATTATAATAATTAAAATAAATTAAAAATAATTAAATATCATAATAATAAAAATAAAAATGATTTAACCGTTCTACTTTTATATTTAGTAATTTTATATCGTAATTTTTGAATAAGTAAAGAAAATATAACGTTTTAACTTTGAATTAAGTTTAAATGTTATATTTAATTTCTATATATATGATTTGTTTTAAAATTTTATAAGTATGAAATCTAAATTTTTACAATAGACTTTAATTCTAAGAAAGATAGAAGTTAGTGTCAAAAATGTTATAAAAATATTTTTTATATTAACATATTAAATTATATTTATTTATTAAAATTTCATATTATAACTATATGATTAATCAAAATTTTCATATTGGAATATAAATTTTAATACTTTTAAAATTTTTTATAATAGCATTTAATTATAAATGTAAAGAAGAGTACTTTCTAATAGAAAAATTTAGTCATTTTGTAAACTTATAATTAGTTTCTAAATATAAATCAAAATACAGATAGTATACATAAAAATATGAAATCAACATAAATATTTTTATTAATATAATTATTTATTATGTTATATTATTAAAATTATACATCATTATATCTGCGTCAAAATAATTAAAATAAATCTATTTTTTAATGGCGATATAATATTTTAACATATTTATATTAAAGTTATATTCATATATCTTTAAAATAATTAAAGATCTAATAATGATATTTTTTTTTACTTATTTTTAGTTCAATGTATATGTTTCTTTTTATACAGTATTTTGAATATTAATTTTTAAATTTTATTTAAATTAATATTTATTTTTTTAATAAAAATTTTAAAATATTATTTGATCATTAAATTAGTTTATGGATATATTTATTTTTATTAATTCTTAATTAAAACAATAAATAATAAATAAACTGTATTAATTATTTTCAGAAATTAAAAAACAATTATATAAAAAATTAATAAATTTATTATTTTAATTTTATGACCTAAATAATATAATTTTATTATACTTAATTATTTATTAAATAAAATTAATTTATTTATAATGTCAATCAATATTAATACTATTAAGTTATCAAAAAATATAAAATAATTTAATCATTTAAAAAAAACTCAATTTTATATTTTTTTATCAAAAAGTAAACTTTTAAATTTAGTATATATATTACATTATTATTAATTTTTATTTACAATATTTTTTATGGTAATTTTATTTATATATAAAAATTTTAATATATTTTTATTTTTTAATATTAATATATAGTTTTGTGTATATTGATATTCAAAGCAAATTTTTAAAATTTCATACATTGAATAAATACTTTATTTTTTTATATATTAGTCTGATAAGTTATTTTTAAAAAATATGATATCATGTTTTAATAATTATATAGTAAAATTTTATTAATAATTTAAAATTACAATTATAAATAGATAGTTTATCATATAAATTTAATTCAACAAATATAAAAAATATATAAATAAAAATTATAAAGCTTTTTATTTAAATTTTATAACTTATATTAAAAAATTTATTATATTTAATAATTTATTGTTATAATTATTTATTTAAAATTTTATAATAATGAATAATTTATGATATCATAAAATAATATAAATTTTATTTTTACATTTTAAAATTAAGATATTTGTATGCTATTTTGTTTTATGTTAATAAATACTAAATTATATATATTTTAAATAATAATTTATTTTAACAAATATAATTTTTTATTATATTTATATATTTATATATTTAAACTATATATTTTATATTTTAAAATAAATTAATTTAATAGAAAAATCATTTCTTAGCTAATTATTATATTTTTGTACATATTTAATAGCTTTTAGCTAATTATCTCAAACATTTTTATTTTTTTTATTTTTTAAAATAATTTTAATTTAATTAATTAAATTTTCAAATTTTAATTAACATATTTCTTAATTTTATCAAACACACCCTTAATACCAAATTTTACTATAGTTTTTTCTTTGAAAATTCAAATGATAACTCTAAAATCAACTATTAATTATCAAAATTATGTTTTCATCGGTAGATTATTTTAAATACGAGCCAAGGTAAGTGGTAGGCTGATTTACATCGGATATTGCATTGTGATGTTCCAATGAAATATAAGTCTTTCAGAAGTAATAATCTTTATTATAAGAAGTGGAGTTGTTTTTTATTATTATTATTATTATTATTATTATTATTATTATTATTATTTAATTTCATTTTTTTTATCTATTTGGATTATATTTAAGTTTGCTCTTTTCTTTCACTTGTTTTTATTAATTAAGTTCCTCTAATTTTAAAAATAAATAGATATAATCTTTTTATAAATTTTTTTACTCTAAACTCTCAAATTATTATTATTTATCTAAATATTTAGGGTTTTCTAAAAATTATCTTTTAAATATAATTATTTTAAAATAATTTTTTTTTGCCTTAGGCATCTTTTGATTACATTATTTACTAGTATCACAAGTTGCAGTATTTATTATTATTATTATTATTATTATTATTATTACATGTAACAGGGGTAAAAATTAAAAAATTATACAAGATTACATTTATTAATTATTAATAAAAACTAACAAATAAGTTATCAGGTTAAAATAAAAAAATAAAATAAAATAGTTAAAAATCTGATTATGAAAAATCACCAATAACCTGCCATTATTTCTCAACAGGGTATTATTTTACTAGTTTAAATGGACAAATATAAACAAATTATATTAGAACAAAAATAAATATAAATAGATTATATATATATTTTCATAATTTCAAGAGATTATTGATAATTTGATGATTTGCTTTGGAAAGATGAATTAAACCTAGCTCAGCCATTTGACCATCAAACGTTGCGTTTAGTTAGACTATCATTTTCTCCGTGCTCTTGTTCTGGGATTCAGTCACGTTAGGGTTTCTGAGAGTGAGCACTTCGTTTCCGTAAACGAAGGATTACTGGTTGGCATTGATTGATTGAGATGGCAGATGAAGCTAACAGAAATGTAACTAAACTAAACCATCTCTCTTACGTTCCTTTTTCATATCAAAATTTTGTTTTGATATGTGACTCTTCGATTTTGTTCTTATTGCTGTAACCGATTTTCATTTTTTATTTTTAAATGCAGGCTTTCCTTGAAATTCAAGGTCGCATGATCGAGACTACTGGAAAATTAAAACAGGTTTCTAATAATCTCTCTTAATTTATTATTATTATTTATTCGAATTTGTTTTTTATTAACCTAGCTAGATGAATTGTTGAATTTGATTCAAGTAGATATCCATGGTACCGTTCTGTTTCTGCAATATCAGTAGCTTCTAGCAAATAGTATATAGTACTTAGTGACTAATGGCTATCTCATTTACTTGAGATAATTAAAATTTATTAAAAAATATTAGATTGATATTTTAATTAATATGTGGCTAAGTATTGGCTGAGAAGGGATTTTCTTTTATTTCAAGTTTGATCAAGGCTGAGTATGGTTGGATCCTATTAGAATCTGACATCATTTCGTTTCATAAATTGATGATGTTTTTCCAATTTCCACCATGTGTTTCCTGGCTCTATTCATAGTAGTCAATCCCGGCGCAGAGCGGCCAACCTCAAAAACGCTATAGCAGGGATAGTGGTGGCTGGATAACCGCTATTCTGGAGTTTGCATACACACACATACATACTGAAAAATATAAAATTAATATACAAATTTGGAACAAAACAACAAAGGAAAACTCAAATTAGAGAAGGAAATAAATTACAAATAGCAAAGGGTGCAGATTCAAAATTTTTAGGGAGAAAAGCATAGTGGCCGCCACAGCCGCGATTTCTGGCCGCTATTCGCAGCGCGACAGCCGCGACGCTACAGGGTTGCCATAGCGGAACTGCGCCACTTCGCTGCGATAGCAGCTGCTATGGCTGCTATTGATAACTATTGCTCTATTCTTAATGTTTTGTTTTGGAGGATTTCATTAATGTGCTTGCTTGTAATAATTTTGACTTTTGAAGAAGCTTTTATGATGAAGAAGAGTGATTTAAATTTTAATTAATATTGCTGTGTCTAGGACATCCAAGCTGTTGTTTTAGGTAGTATTACTTGTGTGTGCTAGGATGTGCAGGCTTGGCACTGCTTAGAAAACTTATACCTGAATTCTGAAAGAGAATATGTAATTTTATCTATTTAAAGTGGGATGAAAAAATAAATGAAAATCCTGGCATTGTTATTTTGCATGTGAGAGTGAAATGCTTATTAGGGGTTGCCTGAGACTTTTCAAGTTGATATTTATCCCTTGGCACACAGGTGCAAAACCAGATGCGTTCTAAGGAAGCAGAAAAGAAGCGTGCTTTTTTGACATTGGAGGAGCTGAAGCAGGTCCCTGATGATTCTAATGTTTACAAATCCATCGGTATGTAAAGAAAATCATAAGCTGGGCTGCTGGTGTTATTACTGCTATTCTTAAAACAACCCTACAAAATTGGAATGACGGTATTGCTGTTTGTATTTAGTGATGCTGCAGTTGTCTAGAGACATGATGGTTCCATATATTTTGTTTTGCAGGGAGAACGTGAGTTGTGGTTACCCATTTGCACATGCTACTAAATAGCGTACACAAACTTGTTTTATGGGCTGTTTGGAAAATATAAATGACATACTTTTATTCACTGTTAATATAATGATCAGGTTTGTGATGGAGACCAAGGCAACCTTAATGAATGAACAGGAGAACAAGTTCAAGGATAGTGAAGCTTCAATTACTGCATTACAGGTATGTATATATACATGTCCTTCCATCATTTGTGTGAAAACTTTTAGCCTTCGATAACTTTTATCCTTATTTTATTTTAAATTTTCTAAAGTTGAAAGGACAAAAGTTCAATCTCACAACTGAAGCAAATTTAACTGTTTTAGCTAAATTTCTGAAACAGTATGAGTTTCAATAATCTTTGAGTGAAAGTCAGTTCTTTTTCTATTACTTCTAACAGAGCTCCAAAGAATACTTGGAAAAGCAAATGGCAGAAGTGGAAAACAATTTGAGAGAGCTGCTGCAACAAGATCCTGGTCTTGCTCGGCAAATTATGTCTATGAATGTAATGTAAAGTAGAAACTTTCCATTAGTGAAATTAACTTTCCAGTGGCAGGTTTCTAGTGCATTTGAGCAAATAGAAAAATTCGGAAGTTGAGACACTGAGGATTAGTACTTTCTGCTTCATGAATGTTCCATCCTTCTTGAAATGCTTGTAAGTTATCTTGATTCTTAGATTGTCAAGTTTATTCCATGATTGGGAATCCTTATTATTGTGTGCATTTTGGTTACTCAAGCACAATTTATTGATGCTGGATAGAGATGTATATGTCTCTGCTATCTCCTTTGTGATGTGAGAAGGCCCTGCTTCATTTGGATGTAACAGAAACCATTAAAAATGAACACGGTTTAACTGGCCTTCTTGAAAGCTTAATTTGTGACAAGAAGGGAACGCTCGATTTAATTAGTCAACCTCACACCTACAACGAAAAATGCGCATCTGATTACTGTTGTCGAATATTACTCTACTGGTATATTTTTTTTTTCTTCATTTTTTTAGTCAGAACAGTTTTTGGTGGCATTAGAAAAGAGTGTGTGTGTTCTATGTTGATGTAATTTACCTGGTTGGTGTCAATAGAATTGACATACTCTGGGTGGGATGGGCTTATTACATTCGACGTAAACTTTGCTATTTAAATTAAAAGGTTAACTATAGAATAAAATTGACAATTAATCAATTTAAAAATAATACCACGCAATGTTTATATATTATAACCTGCCACAATATTTTACTATCTCAAAACACATAACGAAAGTATCAAGTAAAATGCATCTCAACAATCTCTCAACTCCAAGTATCATTTTAGTAGACCCATTATATCAAGGGATTTTGGAAGCTTCTAAAAGAAAAAAATGCCAATAAAAATCTAATTAGCTAAGTTGATCTTTTTCTATTAAGTTCAAATTTTTTATCCAAATAAATGAGTTACAACTATTAAAATTAGAGTAATTATACCCAATGTAACACCATTGTCCTGCTCTTTTCAAGCAGACTTAGTTTTCTTGAGAATGAAATTCAATAATATCTGCAAGCTAAACACAATTTCACTATTATCACCCAAACAAACTCAAAGGAGCCTGAACAAAATTCAACCAGAGGGAAAGTCTCGAACAACCCACTCCTTTAATTTTCTTTCATTCCATTATGTCATTAATCTCCAAACAACAATAAAACTATACATTACAGTTACAACACATTATCCAACAGTACGAAATGGGTCATATATTTTTGATGGAACAAATGTGTATCAACATTATTCATCTTCCACGTTGTATCAAGGTGCTAACTGAAAAGATTGCACGAGAATGCTTCTTTACATCAATAGCTTTGTAAGTTTATTTATTGTCCTTCATTAACATACTGGTATTTGGTCTTCTGATACATGATGTTTATTATTGAATAAAGCCATGTGATTCAAGAAATCAGGAATTTTGAAGCTGGGATTTGTAGATGTCATAACCAGAAGTGCCCGGAGTTACTGGACACAACCTAATAGAGAATGAGTACGGCAAAGCAGGAATCAAATATTGGTCGTGGACGCATGGGGACCAACTATCATCTCCACCCAATCCCATGTGCTTGTGATCTAGATGAATCTGCAATACCATAAAAATCAAAGATGAGAAATTGCATAATAATAATTTCTATGAAACTTGAGATAATATATAAAAAAAATGGCCATATTTCCAGCTAATAAATTGCATGTCACTATAGCAGGTAATATTCAAATCTCTTAATTGTTCATGAATAAATTTGTATGAAGAAATTCATGTCACAAAGAACAGAATTCAAACACTATGCAATCAAGTACAGCACAAACTGGATGAATCTACATTACATGTCAGCACTTCTACAAACATTTTTGGGAAATATTAAACTTTGCCACCCATTATTTGGGCCCAAATGCAGTTTCGGCACCATCTTTAAATAATACTTTCTTTGGTCTTTTTTTTAAGGCACCTCTAACTAAATTACACAAACCAACAAAAGTAGTTAGTTCAGTTTCTTGATTTTTAAAAAATTATTATAACATAACAATTTTACTCATATATATAATTTACTCTCATTTAATACCATTGAACCTAACCCCACTATCAACACTTACCCTTCTTAGTTTTAATTTAGGTTCCCACCAATTTCATTTATTAAGGGCGAAGGGAAAAATATAATAAATGCTTCCTATGCAGAAATATTCGTTCAAGTCATAAATACCTCAATGCTATCTCCTTCAACGAGTTCTTCATTGTGTGTGGCCCGGTCAAGTTCAGAAGTGCTATAGTAGCTTGCACTCATTTGCATGGGTGGAGAGCTACCATACTTAGAAGCATATACTCCAAAACCATTTTTGTTTCTGAATGTTGCCCATCTAACATCTGCCCTACCTGAACTTTCCCCAGGAACAATATAAGGAACATGCAACTCTCCAACATTATGATCATAGACTGCAACCTGGGCAGCAGCTTTTCGATCTGGATAACACTCAAATTGCCCTCTTCCATACCAAGTTACTTGATCCAACGATTTTTCCACATTTAACACAATTCCCATGCGTGGCAAAGGAGGAAGATCAGGGTTTGGTTTCACATTGCATTCCATAATGACATCCCCAGAAGCATAAATTGTATATGTCATTTGAGTTGTGAATAAAACCTTTGACTTGACTTGGTTAGAGAGAGAACCCTCCCCGCCCTCAGTAACACCATTAAAAACAACCGATATTCTAACCATGTTCTCTGTCATTTTTTGCACCAAACAGCTCTCAGTAATAAAGTGGAGGCTGTCCATTCCAGCAGCTTTCCACCTGGACAAATAACTGCTCACTCCTCCTCCTTTGTCATTATCAGTAGGAGCTCGCCAGAAACATGGGAGTATGCCCTTTTCCATAACATTGACTCCTTTAACCTAGCATTTATCAGCATAATATTAATACCAATGTTTTGTCAAGAGTCAAAATAGCTGTAAAGTCATAAAAATTTGAAAATTATAATTTTGCTCTTCAAACATTTCAAAACTGACGTATTTGTTTCTGATTGAGAAAAAGAAATTATGAAAAAAGAAACTAAGTACACCATGAGAGAGGGTAATGTATGCTCAGGACCGTGAAAATGAAAACAGAAATTGAACAAATGAAGACCAAAGGAACAAACAAAAAACAAATTGTTTAGTGCATGTTGTATTTATAGTAAATATATCTCAGAAACTTTAGTTTTTGACCGAATCCACTAGTGTCATGTGTTTCATGTAGCTGACCTAACCAAGTCAGATAAGGATTGAGTATTGTTGTTATGTTGTATTTATTGTGATGGAAGATTCAACCGTACTATTATTTCAGAACTCAGATACAAAAAACCATTATTCAAGGCATTCTTCACTGTATAACATGGAGCTGGGTTTTACCATTTTAAGAAAACAGACATTGTAAGTCCAGTGTTTTATATCTAAATAAACTATAATTGTTTTAATTTTGAACTAGACAAAAATACCAACTTAATCAAACATTTGATATGCTGTAATAAATTCAAAGTTCGGATTTACCTTCCAGCTTTCAACTAAACCCGTTTTAGTGTTAAATGTTATGTCCCAAATATCTTGCTGGCTGACTTTGATTGTATCGCCTTGTGTTTCAGCTACTAGAGTGCCACCACTAATATTGATAGCCTGAATACAATAATAATTCATAAAATACAAAAATTCCTAACTAAGCAACATTGGCCTAAGCCTCGGTTCTAAATAAGTCAATGTTAAAAAGATTACATGAGGAACAATGTCTCTCCTGGCAGGCAGTTGAACTTGAGCAGATGAAACAATATGACCAGCTTCAACCCAGCGTGTGGAATTCAAAAGCTTCACAGCTATAGTCAGGAATATTTCTTCTTCTTCTGATGAAGCCCATAGAGAATACCATGGACCTGATTGCCAATCAACAGCATAACTGCTCTGGGGCTTTATTGGGGCAAGACTCAAAATACCAGATCCAAGGTTGTATCCATCTGCAGAAATGTACCAGCTGAACTCTAATCCTTCTGTTGTTTGGAAAAAATGGGTATTTTTTATCTGCAAAATAAAGATTAAAATAAATTATCAGGTAAAATTTGACTAAAGAAAACACAAAATCCAGATAAATTGAGTACCTCCAATTTCCCCTCATTTAAAGTCACCTTGATTGGCTGGTATAAGTACTTAACCTCTGAAACAAAAAGCACAGCCATGACTTAGTAATGTAAACTGATGAAGAATGCATTGAATGCCTAGAAATTCAATATCAGTTTACCATGTAAAACGGGATGAGGAGTTCGATCAGGAAACATGAGGCCATTCAAACAGAAATTCAAGTCATTGGGAATATCCCCAAATTCACCTCCATATGCCCAATGCTTTGTACCATCTGCATGAACTTTCAACAGGGCCTACATGCAGGCAAAGTACAAAATTGAGAGATCAGAGAATATGGACAACATAAAGCAATGTTGATCATTAGTCGATGGTTATGGTATTCAAAGACCACTCACCTGATCAACCCAATCCCAAATAAAGCCTCCTTGGAGTCCAAATGTCGTGTCAATTGCTTCCCAATATATATGTAGATTCCCATTACTATTCCCCATTGCATGTGAATACCTGCCATTTGGATCGGACATCACACAAATAAATAATCATATAGTTATCTATCACTGAAAACAACAGAGAACAATGAAAATCATGTTATGTTGTTCATGTAATGTTCGGAAACTATACTCGCAAAGAATCAAAGGACGTGTTTCATTAGGATCATTGGCAATTTTCACCATGTCCCAAACACGCATATACATGGGGCACACAATATCAGTGCATGGAGTCCTGGATCCACCTCCTTCATAATGTAACACTCGCGATGGGTCTCTTCCTCGAATCCAACCTGATGCATAAACAAAATGAATAGACAAACAAAAAAAGAAATAATATTAATAAGAAAATTTTCAAATAAACTGAAATGGAAGAGTCAAGAAATAAGTTGCTTCACATATGCATAGGCCAATAATCAGGGTAAATGAACCCAAGTGTAGTACGTACCAGCTAGAGCAAAATGATTAGATCCAAATCCAGATTCATTCCCTAAAGACCAGGAAATAATGCATGTATGATTTTTATCTCTCTCAACCATGCCTATCACACGGTCCAGCATTGCAGTTGCCCAAGTTGGTTCCATAGTAGGGTGCTTGAGATGCATAGAATAATCAAAACCATGTGTCTCAATATTGGCTTCATCTATCATGTACATGCCAAACAAATCACAAAGCTCGTACCAACGTGGATGTTGGGGATAATGGCTGTTCCTCACAGCATTAATATTGTTTTGCTTCATTAAAACCAAATCCTATAATCACAGCAATTATTAGTGTCTGAAAAGGCAAAACATCTATCATTTGACTATCATAAAAAGACGAACTAGCAATCTTATTAAAGGGGAAAAAAGACAAGCAGTACCTTGATCATGCAGGATTCTATGTTTGCCTTTCCCACTTGTGGATGATGTTCATGCCTGTTTACACCTCTTATTACAACTGCATGTCCGTTAACAAGCAGCTGTTTGTGGGCTGTAGATACTTTTCTAAATCCTACTGGGCATGATTCACACTCAACAACACGACCAGCTTGATCTTTCAGGACAACAACTAGGGTATAGAGGTATGGCTGTGAGAAATGCAAACAAAACAAAAAGACACATGAAAACCAAATAGGTGACAGAGTAATTCTAGGCCAAGACAGTTAAAAAAAAATGGTCATATGAAGCCTTACGAAAATCCGAATATATCAATAAACTTCTAATCACATAACATAAACGATAAATCATCATCAAAACAAAGGTCTTGAACCTCCATATGAGTTTAAGGAACTCTATTGAAAAACTTGATCTGCCTATTACTCCCTGGCTATGTAACAAAATATGTCGTAGGTGCAATAAAGCATCGGAAGTAGGTAACATGACAAGAAACTCAGGAGACCTATGCAGGATTCCTGTCCTAGATTTAGTACAGAACAAAATTACTCAATAACTACTTCAACATTATTTCTCAATTTGTAATGCAATAATTGGTTTGCTAATCTATGAATAAAATCCACCCAAACACATGAGAAAAAGAATGATTGAAAGTCCTCACTTGCTCTGCAGACCAAAGCTTTGGTGATTGCAGTTTCCCCACAAGCACATAACCATGAAACCCTAATGGTGCACTTGATGGTTGGAGCTTTATGTCAGCTACATTTGATGAAAGGAGATCAGGATTCCCATCAGAGGTGTACCAGCTTCCAGAATCAAATAAAGAAGCTTCAATAATGTAGTTTGTAAGAACACTATCCTTGGCTGTCTCTCGTAAGTTATCTATTTTTACTTCAACCTGGATTATACATGCATAGGATTGATAATATATCCCAAATAACAATAATATTTGAAAACAAATTGTAATGTTTTATAACATCAATGACACAGCAGGGCAATTGTGGTAGAATAAAGCCAACACAGGTAAAATTTATTGTGAAAATATAGTGAAGGTCATTTTGTTCTTAAATTTGGGCAATTCCACTCTTTTTACAGGATCATACAAACAGAACATAGACTTACAAAAATTGGATTTAGGTAGAATCTTCCACAAGCAAGACTGGTCAGAGACACTATATATATATATATGACATGAAAAATAATGAGCACAATTTCACAAAATATTTATGCTTACCAGTATCTCTGCATAAGAAAAATCTTCAGCAAGGTTTGATTTGAAAAAATAGTCAGTAACAAATACCTACATACCAAATATTTCGAAAGATATTAGTATCAATCAAGAAAAAAAATAATCAAATGGCTGAAAATTTGAACATTCTATATTCAAAACAAAAATTAAATAACTTGAAAATAAAAAAGAAACTCAGATATTATTCTTTCTTGATTTTTCAGTGTACAACCATGGGCATCAAATTGAGCTCAATTACAATAAAAATAGAATGAGGAATAAATCAAACCAAATCTGTACAAGAAAGGAAATAAGAAATAAGCAGATTTAACACCATAAAACACTCCCCCTCAAGCTGGTTAATGAATATATATCATTCCTTGCAATAAGATCTCGAAATTGTTCTGTGAGTAGTCCCTTAATTAGGACATCAACCAACTATAATCTAGAAGGAACATTGCTATATCTTTACGGCCACTATCTAATTTTTTCTTAAAGAAATGCTGGTCTATTTCTCTCTGTTTCTTTCTATCATGTTGAACCAGATTAGAGTATGCTGATGATGGATTTATTGTCACAAGAGCCTTACAGGGGCATCACACTATATTCTAAGGCCATCAAGTATTATTTTCATCCATAACAACTCAAAAATCCCTCGGGCCATAGATCAGAACTCTGCATCTGCACTTGACCGCACCATCACATTTTGTTTCTTACTTCTCCATGTCACAAAGTTTTCGCCTAAGAACATGCAATATCCTAAAAGTGGATCTCCTACCAACAATCAAGCCAGCATTGCAACACTTGTAATGATAGCTTGCCTCCTCTCTTAAACATCAATCCCCTCCTTGGGTTACCTTTCTAATATTGAAGGATCCTAGTAACAGGCTGCAAGTGTCTCTCTTGGGGGTTGTGCATAAATTGATTGACCACATTAACAACATAGGCTATGTTTGGTAGTGTGAGCTAAGTAAATGTGCTTTCTTACAAGCCTCCAATATCAAGCTTTGTCTATTTGTTGGACTTTCTTCCTCACTTCTAATATGATGATTTTGTTCATTGGGATTTCCCATAACTTTGCGTCCCAACTTGTGAGTCTCCTTGGGGAGGCCAAGGACATACTTTCTCTGTGGTATGAAGAAGTCCTACCTTGAGTAAGCAACTTCAATTCTCAAAATGTTTTACATCCAACTACTTTCTTGTTCTTTGGCCTTTTAACAATTTTCCGGATCCCATTCTTTTCCAAGGCACCCCTCAGACCGATCTTCCCCCATAGAGCATAACAACTCTTTTCAGAGAAAAAGACATCATCTCTTTGTTCATGATTCAAATCTAGTTATCACCCTTTAAGGACTCATGTAAAAAAGTGAGAATCTAGACAGAATTAATAACTAAAAGAAAACTTTAGTGCTGCATATAGAGATGTTCATCGTGAACACAAGACCCTTTTCCTTTCCTCAAGGCAATGGGTAAATCATCAGAACACTTATCAGATGGGACTACCAATGACTCAGTTACTAGTATTAGACAATTAAGGTTGGTGTTGGACTAGGTTGGGTTTCTATCATCTTTGGTACACCAATATTGGAGCAGGTGCAGGTTCTTCTACAGTTGGACTAACTAATGCAGGTTTCTCCCGAGTAGTGCTTGATGAAGATTCAAAGTCCTGCATAGATAAAGAGACAAAAGGGTGACAAAAGGATTCAAACTCAAATTCACTCTCAGCTTCCAAAAATTTCTCCCGTTGAAGCTGAGGACCAGAGTAGAAGGATTCAGTTTCATGAAAGGTGACATCTATAGAACACAAATGAATTAAAGGATGATAACATTTGTACCCCTTTTTGTCTTGCAAGTACCCAATAAAGATGCACTTAAGTACACTGGGATCTAATTTTCCATGATGTTAACTGTGGGTATGAACAAAGGCTGTACACCCAAACACACAACACTTGAGATTATTAATACATGGAACTAAAAGACCGAAAGATGACATGACATGAACAAGACTGACTCCATTAAGAACACAAGTGGAAACCAGTTTATTAAATATGCCGCTGCTAAGACTGCTTCTCTCCAATAAGATTAAGGAATGGACATCTGAAAGAGCACAGACAGCTTCTAAAAGGTGGTGGTTTTTCCTTTCTATAACACCATTGGGTTGTGGAGTATCAACACATGTTAGCACAGGAATCAGACCATTCTTTTTAAAAACCTCAAATAGTTTGATTCATGCATTCTCTCCCATTATTGGAGTGGTAACCATTCTACAACATCAATTTTATTCTTAAAACATTCATGTCACACAAGCAATCATAAAATAAAAGAAATAAACAACTTTGCACAAGAAATATTAGAAATATAAACAGGTCTCCACATATCAAAATGGACAAAATCAAATGGCTCAACATTTTTATTATTACTACTAGGGAAAAGTCCACTTTACTCCTCTTCTATGTTTGCTCATGTGCAATTTAAACCCTGACATTTGAAAATGTGCAATGCGACACTTTATAGTTACCAAAATGTTCAAAAAAGCCCTTCCATTAATGTGACGTTCAAATTCACTGTTAACATGCATATGCTTCTCACGTGGCTAAATTATTGGGCAAATAAGCCACTCTTTATCCTCTTAGTGCGTGCTCTTATCATTTCTCACAGATCTCACTCTGGCAATCTCCTTCCAAAATTTCTTGCTCCTGTTTTCCTTCAAGTTTCAACTTTTCAGAATCCTTATCTGTCTCCGTTTTCATTTTCTCTCTTTTTTTATTTATTTTTAAATTTATATACAGAATATGATCGCTGCAATGTCTCTGTTCTCTGTAAAAAATAACTACACAAAAAAAAATTGGCATTGTGTATTAGAGGAGGCATAGGAGGTTGTCGACAGGAATATTAGAAGCTTCTAGAAGGAAAGAGAGTGATTGCTGTAGTATGCTTGCGGTTTTTGTGAGTCCCTATGCTGGAACCAGTGGAAGATTTTCGAGGTTGTTGACTTTGGTTTTGAGGTATGTGACGAGGGTATGGGTTTCACCGTTGGAGCTCTTGTCCTTCTTTGTATGTGAACTGCTCTATGGTGCTTTTGCATCACAGGGAATGCAGTTTGTGATAACTATAAGGTGTCATGTTGTATACTTTCAAATGTTAGGGTCTAAATTGCACATGAGCAAACATACAAGGGGGTAAAGTGAACTTTTCTTAGTACTATGATAAGTTTGTATGGTGACGATTTGTTAACTGACAAGTACCACAATGAAAGGACTTGATTGCCTCTCTTGTAAACATGAACCTCAACATTATTTTATGTAACATTAATGGTTTCCTGTTCAACCTTTTATAATATGCACTAATGTATTTCAAAAAGGAATGCTTCTCATAAATGAGACAAAGCAATAGTAGGTGAAGGGAATTTAGAGAAAAGGAAACCTCTGGCTTTGCCAAAAGAAGAACATCACGGTGGATGCCAGATAACCGCCACTGGTCCTGGTCTTCAAGGTAAGAACCATCACTCCATCTAAATACTTGAACAGCTAAAACATTCTTACAGTCCGAACCACATGGATGACAAAAATCAGTGATTTCAAACTCTGCAGGTAGTCTGCTGTCTTGGCTGTCCTTGCAAAACAGAAAGAGAGTTAATTAATGTCAAAGCTTATTTCACATTATCTTTGTTCTTCATAGATATTATGTAAAAAGCCACTTCAGGACATCCACCAAAATAAACAGATATAAGCCCTTTCCTTTTAGCATGACCATAACCAGATGTTCCCCCACTGCTTTGTTTGGCCTGGGACTTGCACCTAAAGTGCCAAGATGGTAAATGAACATCTGACAATTAGACAGCATATTTTCGTCATTGCTGAAGACTGCAGTAACCAATTTATCATCTATTTCACAGCATGTCTCCTCCTAATCTTGCATTGCCTTTTAACATTTTCTCATTTATTTTCTTTATGTCCCCCTCACATTATATTTACTTGAGTTGAAAATACAGAAGCAACATATTAAGCAGCAAGTATGTAGCTATGTTTATGAGTGTGCGATGTGCACACCAGAGAGCAAGAGAGGAAGAGATACCTATATCCTATAGGATGTCCATTTATCCATGCACAGAAGGCAGAATCAACTGCTTCAAAATGCAACAAAATTCTTCTACCTATCAACAGCCAATAATATTCCAAAGAGGTAAGTGTTTTAAACTAAAAAATTAGCTGACAAAAAAGAAAATACCGATAAGTAGCCCAGAAAAACAAAGGGAAAAGACACCAGATACATTTGGAAGAGTTGCACTATCAAGATCTACCAATCCTTGGTACAATTCCTCAAAATATTAACAGTCAACAATAATAATTACAATTTAAAGAAAATATATTTTCCACCACATTCATTGTATAATGCATTGTAATTACATTTGAAGTACAATGCACTATAGAAACAGAACTGAATGAAAACAATGGAATGTAAACACAAAATTCCTCCATAGCATATGTTTATCCACAGAAGGAAAAAGTTTAACATTGTAAAGAAATTGAATAAGTCATACCCTCCCATTCTTTAGGAATGTCGAAATACACTCTGTAGCAGCCAGTAGGATTTTCCACAGGAACAAAAGGAGGATCTAGAGGAAATGGATATTGCACGTTTGTATATATAGGACAGTCAAATCCATGCAACTGCCAATTTGAGGGAACTGTCCAATTTTGAGGAAAGTAATTCAACAATGACAAAAACATTAGCACTTACGAGTTATGAGAACTGAGAAAAGAAATCAATTCAAATAGAAAACAAACCACAGCAGTACACTACAACAACAAACTCTATATCAAAGCCAATATTAGAGAACATGGTGAATAAATTAAAGCAAACATAGTTAGGAGTTTTCTTGCTGACGTAACATATGCAGGAAGAGAGTAATACACCACACTTACCGGGCAAAGTTTTCCACTCTGAATCGTGAAATTCACTTTCATAAAAATTAGACGGGACATTGTCGGGATTGTCAGCAAGGAAAAATTTCCAATATCCAGACAAGGACTTAACAAAAGGCAAGTTTTTGACCCAAAATGCAGCACAATCAAGAGATCCCTGAACAGCATCATCATTCCAAACAGCAGATTGGGAAACCAAAAAATCCACTTTGTTGCGTTGATACCAATATTTAAGAGATCCTACCCACATCACAAAATTTGTCATTATTAAAAAAAAAGAGAACAAATTCAAAGAAATACACAAATTCATTTTACAAATTTTACACAGTAATCATCTATCTCAAAAACCACAGTCACTTATTGGGACTTGCACAGTAATCATCTATCCACACTTCATTTTCTTAAGTCATTTCATTGAATTGACATGTTCAACCATTTCCATCTACCAAGCGCCCCCACCCCGCAAGAAAAAAATAAAATCAAAAGGGTCGTATTCTAGCAAAGAGACCCTTAAAAAATGAATTTTTAAAATAGAATCCAACAATCAAATCAACCCAAAACGTGAAATGAATCGCATTTTGTCAAACTGCATTAGAATCCCAGTAAAAGTAAAAGCTTATTTGATGCAAAAAGCATGGGAATGAGACCTTCAACGGAATCATGGGAATGCAAAGTAACATGAGGGTCTCTTTTCCTCCACTTGATGAAAGAAGGATCCTCCCAAACCCTGTAACCATTCCGTGTAGTAAGATGATGTGGCCCAACAACCAAAGAAGAAGAAGAGGAAGAAGCCATCATCACATAAACAAAGGAAAGATTAGTAGATCGGTCGAAGGTTGAAGTGCATATTGTTGTTATATCAGTCAATGGAGAGTGTAAACGACCTATTTATTAATGTTTATCTCATATTTCTATTGTTCTACATTTTTCACGTGTGTAAATGTTCACCTTGCAATTAATCAATATATCATTATACTTGGCATGCTATGGTCCTTGATTGATAACGCTTCACTCACTTTAGTTTTTATTTTATGCTCCTTTTCTCTTTTGAAAAATCATGTTAATGAATATTCTTAAAAATAAATAATTTTTTTAGAAAGTATTATCAATATCACAAATTCACAATTTTTAATGTATCTTTAGTATTTTTTTATAAAATATTTTATTTATTAATTCTTTAAATAACACTCTTAAGAGACTTGTTAACAAAGTTTAAAAAAATCCAATTTAAACAAATTAAAAATAAAAGTACCTTTTTTAAATAAAGTTTTAAAATTTAAACTATGAAAACTAATTAAAATAAATTCTACCATTAAAGATAAAAAAAATTAAAGAAAAAAAAAAAGACTAACTTGTACTTATGTCTAAACAAAAAATTATAGTTATGCAAGTCTAACTTATAATTAATGTTAAATTAGTTTTAAAAAATTAGATGTATGTTAAACTAATTTTATTTATCACAGTGTTTTAAATTTACTTTCTAAAATGTATTTTTCAATTATCTAAAGTCATATTTTGCATAAAAAAATTATATCATATCCTCATTAATTAGATTTTAGCACTATATTTTATAAATAACATTTTTTTATATTTTACAAAACTTTATGATTAATATTTTTTATTAACCTTAATTTTTATAATTAAGTTTAAATATTTAAAATAATAATTTTTAAAATATATTTCTTATATTAAAGTATAAAAATATAATAAATATTTTTAATTAATTACTATTATTTTTTTATATTTAATTTATTTTTTAAAATATTATAATATAATATTTTTATTATTATTAATATCTATTTTAATATGTTTTAATTTAAAGTTTCATCATCGACTCTATTTATTAAAAATAAATTAAAAAAATAATAAATATTTTATAAAAACCTTTTATAAAGTATAATAATTAATAAATATTACTTTTTTTAAATGCACTAATTTAATGCAGTGGTCTAGTACAACAAATTAGTTGTTCCTTAAAAACTAAACTTGCAAATGTATTAAAAACTAATTTTTTTAAAAAAATAAATTTAAAATTAAATTAAACAAAAATTAGATTTAAAACTAACTTAATATAAAATATTAAATTTAAAACTGGTTTCAACTAAAGTCATATTTAAAATTAGTTTTAAACCAAATATAAAATTTACAACTAATTTTAAACTGATTAAAAAATAAAATAAAATAATTTAAAATTCAATCAATATAATTAATTTGAATAGTAGATAAATGATGCAAAATAGAAAATATAAATTTAATTTTAATACTAGAGTATAAAAAATTATATCATTAACTCATTAAAATATATCTAAATATAATTTTATATTAATTATTATAAATTTAATTATTTTTTAATATAATAATAGTATAAAATGGATATGATTGGTTTTATGCAAATCTAAGCCCACTGTTACATATATTTAACCATTCTAACTTTAAATTATACAAATAGCATTGCATATTATTATTATTATTTTATTTTAACCCTAAAAATCATTATATACACACACACACACAAAAATAATATTAATATATATAATTTAAGTTTAGTTAAATACATCATTTAATATATCTTATAATTAAAGTATAAAATAATATTTTTATTTAGCTCAAATACAACTAACAAGTTCAAGCATAGATATCTAAGAATGAAAATTAAAGTTGTTACGTGCACCAGCACATGTTCGAGTATAATTTTTTTAAAAATACGAATATAAAAATGCTTAGTATAGTACCCTATTCAAATATGTGCAAGTACAATCCCTAACAAGAATTTCTTCTGAATTACAATCCTTCATTTTCCTCCCTGTACTTAAAATGTAAATTCCACTCGTTTTTCTCCATCCAAACGTACCCGTCTCAGAAGAGTACACAGTAGTTTTGTGGTTAAAATCATACCCCAAAATTCAAAGAAAATAAAAAGTATCTGCCCAGCCTAGTTTTGCACTAACCACTCAGGCCTAACTACAAATTGTCACACTCAAACTGCATAAAAAAGCATAAAAGCATTCGAATTGTGGTTAGAAGACCAAACCAATGAAATGGAAATTAATACTTCATAGGACTTTGTGCAAGACCACTAAAAAAACCACTGTATTTGGGCTTTGTATTACAAAGATGAGAAAGGAGAAAACCAAAACCGAGAAAATTTATCAGTTTACAACTCGAGGTGCCTAGAAACCTAATCAACAGAATACCAGCCACTATCTGATTCATGAAACTATAATCAGAAGGTAGCCATTCTGGTACCAGTGGTCTAGTTAATGTCTGAAAGCTGGATGAGGTTGAAGGTTAGATAAAATGGTGGGCAGAGTGAAGTTTGATAGGTACATCATGTGCTGTCATCATTCAATCGACAAAATATTATCTGCCCAAGTGTGATATCATCGTTCACATGCTAAAAAAGTTACCATGTAACAGTCAAGGGAAAGGGAAACACCGTTCCCTGCAGGAAAATTGGTCAGCTGTAACAAACTATTCAGTGGCCTCATCTGCTCATTTTCTGTACAATATTATGTACACAACTCTAATCTACTCATTTGTTTCCATAGGCCCAGGAGTTGGGGTCTGGTCACCCACTGGTGTTGTATTTTCAGCCTGCCCTGGTGTTGTGATCTGCTCCACTGCTGGAGTTGCAGTCTGGTCCCCCCTTCCACGGGGTTTCCGAAAATATTTGCCAATGAATGATTCAGCAACATCTGGATACTTCTTCTTTATTAAGTTGTCCAAGCACTTGCGGTATGAAAAGTCTTCTTTTCGACCATCCTTCAAAACCACATAAAAGCACCTGCTTTCCTGAAAATTGCTGTGCCTGCTAACCTGTTGTTACAAGTAGTCGTCCCCACATTAAATACAGGAAAACAGAGAATATATTCAAGTCTCAACAGAACGCCAAAATATACCATCATTCTGTACAAAATGTACTATGTAATGGAAAGAAACTAACTTATCTAGGAGACCTGTAATGACATCCATCACAACTGTAAATGAAAGATAAGAGGCAAGGAAACAGATTTGGTGGATACCATGACATGATCAATTCCTGCACCCATTTTGGTTTCTTTATCTGGGTGGTGTTCAAAGACATTCTCAAGTACAAAATGTTGATCTTCAGCAGCCAGTGGGTCCCCATCATTGTACCTTCAACAGGAATTCATTATAAAAATTGAAAAAAATGCTCCAGCTTATAATACAAAATTCATAGAAGCAGAGGGAACACATAAGAAGGAAATCTTCGAAGGCTAGGCTACAGAGTACATCAAAAGGGAACAAAAGCCAAAATTGACTAATAATGGAAGCATTTATCAGGAGGAAAAATTGAAGTAATAATAGCTATATAGCTAAAGGTAAACCAAAAATAACTTCCAGAAAATGCTGGTGGCAAGGAGAAAAACTGTTGACCACAGTTAAGGGTTCCTAAAATGGCAGGAATTACACCTTCTGCAGTTTCAAATTATACAACTTGCAATTCAGTGTAGGTAAAATGAGTGACAATTAAAAAGGCTCAGATTAACCTGGGCATAGGGAAGACATTTCAATCGTACAAAATGGAAAATAGATATGATTTTTACCAGCCTTGTAAAGTAATTATATTAGAGTTATCATTTACTGCCATGGGAACTTACCCTTGTTGTTGCATGATTCGCCTGATAGACTGCATAATGTTTTCAATATCCTTCAGAACATCCTGTTCCTCAGATGAGTACATGTCCAATCTTGGTCCAGGTGCTCTAGGCGGGCGATTCCTATTTCTCCTATCACCAGTATTTGAACCCCAACCTTGTGAACCTTCAAAACGATTTTTCTTGAATGAATCTCTTTGTTTTCCCCACTGAAAACCTTTGTCACTGTCAGGATTAGCTGAAGAAATTTGGGAGTCCCATCCCTGTGAACTTGCAGCTTGATTTGACTGATTATGGGAATCCCAAGCTTGATTTTCTGGGGACTTGGGTTTACCCCACGAGCTACTGCCAACTGGCAATTTAGCATCCCAATTTAAATCAATTTCATTGCTCCGAGTCACCTTCACATTGTCAGAATTTTGCTCCCAAGCATTGGATCTAAAAGAGTCTTCTTGCATAACATCAGCTCCAACCTTTGGTTCAGCTTTCCGCTTAACAGAGCCCCAAGAATCCTCTTGGCCTATTTCTGACCCACCATCTTTTATTTCACGTTTATCTCTAGCCCAAGAAGACCAATCACTGGAATTTGCTTTTGTCTGATCTTTCACATCCCAAGCACTGGACCTAGATGGGTCTTCTTGGGTAACATTAGCTTTCCACTTACGGGAACTCCAGGAATCCTCTTGGACTCTTTGGGCTCCACCATCTGGTGAATTAGATTTCTTTCCTCCCCAGTCAGACCATTCATTTGATTTTGTTTTGGTCTGGTCTGTTATGTTTGCATCCCAAGCGCCAGAACTAGAAGAGTCTCCTTGGGTAACATCAGCTTTTTGCTTAAGGGAGCTCCAAGAATCATTTTGGGTTCTTTCACTGTCTTTTATTTCAACTTTATTCCTAGCCCAAGAAGACCAATCATTGGAATTAGATTTCATCTGATCTTGCACATCCCAAGCACTGGACCTAGAGGGGTCTTCTTGGATAACATCAGTTTTCTTCTTTTGTGAGCTCGAGGAATCCTCTTGGACTTTTCCAGATCCTCCATCTTCATCAGTTTTGTTACCTCCCCAAGCTGACCATTCATTTAATTTTGTTTGGGTCTGATTGGTTGTTTTAGAATCCCAAGCACTGGACCTGGAAGAGTCCTCTTGGGTGAAATCAGCTTTCCGTCCATGAGAGCTCCAAGAATCCTCTTGGACTTTTCCAGATCCTCCATCTTTATCAGCTTCGTTACCTCCCCAAGCTGACCACTCATTGGTTTTTGTCTCAGTCTGGTTTGTATTTGCATCCCAACTATTGGATGTTGAATCATTCAGTAGTTCAATATTCTCTTCAAAGATAGCATCAAAACCAGTTGTATGCTGTGGAGATATGCCCAAATTTTCTTCAAGCAAATCATCAATGTCTTCACCCAAACAAGCAATGTTTTCTTCTTCCCCATTGGAAAGGCTTTTGACCATGTGAAGAAAATTGTAAACATCCATCCCTTCAATCTCCTTTGAATTTATCTGCAAAAGAAAATGTCAATATTCAAATAATGTTTACACTACAGATATAAAAGTCTTATAAAGTCAACTCCAATATTAAATCTGAGTATAATCAAACACCTCGTTTGCATCCCATAGGATGTCAAAATTTGATCCTGTACCAACTGCCACATGTTTACCCCAGGAACAGGAAGCAACTATGCTTGATAAAGAGTCAGTATGGCATTTCTCAGCAGCTCGCTCAAAACATTTTTTAGGTGTCTGCATAATCACACACACAAAGTAAGAAAATAATCACCTGATACATCTCAAGATTACTAGTAACACAGCAACTTACAAAGAGTGTTGCATCTGTGAATGGTACTTGAATATTCAATTGGCGAGCCAGTGCTTTATATCCACCTGTATTAAAGCCAACCAAAATCCCACCACAAGTCATGCTACTTGCTAACAGAATGAGATGCTCTCTAAGAACACCTTTTGCCACCATTTTCACAGATGCTGCAAGACGCTGCAGGAAGTCACAAAAGGATGAGAGGAGGAAAAGGTGGGAAACTTCATGATCAAGAGACTTTCATCAGACAAGACTCGATAATTGATGATATCCTTCACAATTTTTCTTTATAAAGAAAAAATTCAGTACAGAAAAATAAGGACACCTAAGTCCTGATGGAAAGATATGAAAACTTCTGAAACAAACATCAGATTACATACAATAGAGTGCAGGTCTAAGCATGCAGCAAGTCTTTCCCAATATCTCAGAAGATACATGCTGATGGCATTCCATGAAGCAACCATGAGTAGAAGAGCAAAGCAAGGCCAAAATTTGAACCATATCCCAAATCCAACTTAGAGACCTCAAGGATATGAACATCACACTCCAGCACACATCAGAGGACATAAAAATTACACACACCACAGGGCCATAAGATCTTAAGTGGCGTTTGTTTTATTTTTCAGTATATGTTTTCCTTAATAATTACAAAAACACAATCTTGTTCACATTATTTCAAGTTTACAAGAATTCACAAAGGAAAATTGTGAAAATGACAGGACCTATTTTTTGCCATTACCCTCGCAAAATCTTTAAAAAAAGAAACAATATAATAATAATATGGCATTTTTTTAATTACAAATCAAAGCATATCAACTGAAGGTAAACACAAAAATAACAAGCAAACTCTTCCTTAGTTTCTCTGTCACAACATCTATATCCAACAACCATAAAAATTTCTCTAGAATAGAAGAAGAACCCAGTCATCTCCTATAATACCAAAAATTTTGTTTGCTCCATAGTAAAAATAGACACCTTTCAATGATGTGTGTCCTTGATGAGAACCCACAACGAAGAAAGATGAAGAACCAAAAATATTTGAAAGCTGAAGGAAGCAGAAACTATTTATTCAAGCATTTTAATAAACTCAAATCCTTGAAACTTTAAATCTCAAAAACTAAAACCCAAATATCTTTTTAAAAAAGCAGCATATGCATCTTTATGCACTAGTATCCTATCACTACTAGTCAACAGTTACATTCAGTTCTAAATAAGACTAGGACAAATATACCAAAAACTCTTATTTTTTATAAAAATAATTACAACTATGAGCTTCAAGCTTGAAATTTTTAGAGTTATCAATTACACTGCTACATGTATTAAGATAAAGAAAGCTAGCAGAACCAGAAAAATGCTCTTCCATTAAATTTAAGCACCATACCATAAGCAGCCAACTCTAAAGTCACTGATGACTATGCGTACGACAACTGGTCAGGTACATTCAAGGAAACTATACACACTTTTGAAGATGAAAGAATGAGGAAACAAGCAGCATAGACAGTAATTGAAAGAGAGGAAATTAAATCCAGTTTGTTTTCATAGACACTTTGAACCAGAAGCATGTGTGTGTGTCAGAAATTTACCTGAATTGCTTGATCAAAAGTACATGATATCCCTAGTAATTCCTGAATTTGCTGAATAGAATAAGGGATGGAACGCCTGGTATCAATCAAATGAAGAACAGGAAGGCAAGAATCAAGTACAATCCTCCAAGCATCACCACTTTGTTTAACAGCTTCTTTCTCGAGAATGACGTCTAGTGCCAATTCACCGTTGGAAGATTTATAAGGGTTTCGGACCCATGTGTTTGTGTCTGGACTAACCCAGATTATACTTGCAGAGTTAATACGAGGGTCTCCTATTTATTTGAGTAAAATAAAAATATTACTGAAGTGAGTACATGCAAGTAATTAATGTATTGTGATTATGAATGTAACAGAACATCAATAGACCAAAAATAGAAACTGATGGCCAATGAATATGAACTACAAAAAACAAAGTTGGAAAGCAAATCACATCCAAAAAGATAACAAAAGTCAATGACAATCTAGATTTTGACACATTAGTATGTGAAAAGGACAAATATGGACTAATGCATTTGAGTACATGACAAGTCCTGCATCAACAGATTTTTGCATTCTTTGAAGGTCAGTGAGGTGTTTCTGATAGTGAATATGACCAATCCTACTTCATTGCTTGAGGAGAATGGTCAAGAACATAATTTCTGACTTATAAGAGCTATCTGCCAAGGACACTGCCAAGATTTTATTATTCAGGGAAGTACTAGTTGCATAAGTTAATTATTTGAAAAGGGCCAACTTGTTTCAGATTTTGGTTAATGTTTTCTGTTTGAGGTTTACTACTGGTAATGACCTTAAGCTGCATAAGCTTTAATTTAAAAGAGAATATTAGGATGTGCAGTCTTCTTCATATAGTGGATGAGTTGTTCTGGATTATACTAACACTTGACCTAATAGCGCAAATATAATGGGCTATAGGAGCATTAAATTAGTGTGTAGTATTACATCAGAATATCAATTAAATCCCACATTACTCTAAGTATCATTTTTCTCTTTTTCCACCCTCCCTACCAAACAATACATATTAATGTAATGATATTAAAATTATAGCACTTCCATTAAAAAACTAGTAAAGAAAATACCTTGGATTATTGTTTCTAACAGAACAGGGCAGATTTTGTCAGCCATGGTGTTTGCAATTCTGTCTAAATCATTATCACTATCATCTAGCCAAATGAACTTTAAACATGGTGCAGAAGCATGCAGAAATGAGCAAGACTCACTGTCAAGAAGGAACATTGATCAGAAAGTGATAGACTAACATTTAAACTGCCATAAAGTCAGAAGACAAAGCATGTGACTACAATTACACAAAAAAGCAATGCATATAAAAAAAGCTTTTATCTTCCTTTTCTGGATGAAAAAATTTAATACACAGGGAAAGAAGTTAAGAAATGAAGATCGGCATAGTTATCAATCCCAGACAACGGCACATAGTGACCTGTCCAAAAACACATTTCAGCTAATATTTAATTGAACTGTTGATAATAAATAAATAAAATGGGTCGCATTTAATCCTAATATTATATCAATATAGTATTACATGTCTTTCTAGTCACATTCAACACATTTCAGCTAGTTTTACCAAACAACTCTAATTCAATTAGTCACAACTCACAACTATAAGTTACAAGCTTTCAGCTAGCTTACAACCTACAAGTTTTCAGCAAGTTTTACTTTTACCAAACACAGCCATAATCATTCCTTGAACATGATGATAACTTACAATCATGGGATTAATTCCTAGTTATAACACCAAGCTTTAACTCTCAGACACAAGTGCAAAATCACTTGAGTAAGATCAACAAAATATAAAAGAGCTTATATCCTATAAACAACCAAGATTGAGTACTTTGATGCTTCACTTATAATGGGATAAGATTGTCTGCCCTCTTCAAGGTGTCCCCATTTCAAGCTTGTATAGAGAATGGATAGCTTTGTGATGTACTATGTTTTAATGTTCCAGTCTGTCTTTTATGTTACCTTTTTCTGATTAGGAGAATTTTGAATTTCTGATCCTCTCATCAAATTTTCTCCCATTCCTTTCTAACAAAGCTTCTATTTCTATTATAATACGAAGACTAAGGGCGTTCAGTGGCCATCTTCATGTAATCATATTCTATCAATTGTATATTAGTAATGGTAACTTTTACGGTATTCTGAAATTGATTTTAATCCAAAAAAAATCTGCAAGAGAAAGTTAAATAAAAGAAGAATAATATAAAAAAAAACCAATTAATCAAACAAACAGAAGTAGTTAACAGAATTTTTAAAAGAACAAGACCGACTTTTCTTTACAAATACCCATGCCATCTAAAATCATAATCCAAGCAACAAATTACTTCAGGGAAGCATAAACAATTAATAATGGAAGGTAGCCTATCATATGCATAAGGAAAGCACTGAAGATTAACCTAAACCACAATTCAGTCTTCTTGAGGACTTGATTAAGACTCTTTTTCCTAGTAAAGGAATTTAGTTTTTCTTGACATTTTTGGAAAATGTCATCCATATTGATCTTCAGCTCTTCTAACATCATCTGTTCAAAAAGGTTATTGTTAGTTATTTAAAACATAATAAAATAATGGTTTTCCTAACCTGTGCAAAATTATACATAATAAGAATCTTTATATATATAGTAAGTTTTTATTGAAAATTATATAATTCAGAGTGATTCAATACATTGATACTATTAAATGCTACAATTTCCAATAATAGCTGACTATTTATTGAGTTCTTACTTCGTATCATGTGCAATTTAACACAGGTTAGAAAAATCAGTAAAACAATAATAGTAACTATAATTATAAAAATAATGCAAAAACAACCAGGCCTTTTCAAACATGGAAGCATTATAATCATTATCAAACTCAGATTAGATAGTGGCACATAGCAGCCAACTCCCAAAACACTATAGTAGGATTGCATGTAGCAAGATAGCCGCTATTTAAAATTTTTATACACAGATTAAATAGTATTGGAAAAGATTTTCTCACACTAGTGCAAATCTAAAAATTCTTACACTCGATCTGAGCCTTTCATTTAATTTACATATAACGATTTTAAACTTACACTAGTGTAAGAAGATCCTATTCCATATATTATATATACATAAAAAAGCTAAATAAAACAAAAAACAAAATCTCAGTTCACAACACATTCATAATTAACAACAAACGGTCAGAGTTGTTAAGCAAAATATACAAAAAATGTCAAGGAAACAAACAAAACAATGTTGCTAATCACAGTGTGGGTGTTGCACAGTAGATAGAAGTGTGGTAAATTGCATTCAATTGGGGATTTTTTTAATTTGAAAAGGGGGAAGGAAATACCAATGTTTCTTCATCCTCCTCAATTTCAACCAAACACTTTTTTCTTAATCTTGTCAATTCTTACAAATCTACTCATCCAACACAACATTCACAAAATCACCAATTATATTTAGCTCTTGTTGGCACTATTACCCAACATTCACTACACTAGTCTATTTTTACATCCTCATCAATCTCTACCTCATTTGCAAGTAGGCAGTAGCTTAAGGTAAGATTAAACCCCTAATTCACACCTTCAAAACACTGGTAAACTCATGTTAACAACAACAATACAATAACAATCAAGCCTTATCTCACTAGGTGAGGTCGGTTACATGGATCACATGATGCCATTGAACTCGATCAAAAACCAAATTTTTAAAATGTCTCTTTTAATAACTTCGTCTAAAATTTTGTCAGGTCTCCTTAGACTTCTCTTTACCAGACTAAGAGTTATGTAATCCACTCTCCGTACTCACACCTCTAAAGGTCTTCTCTCTGCATATAACGAAACCAACTTGGACAATTTTTAATCATCTTTTTCACTGTAGGTGCTAATTTAATATTCTTTCATATTCTATCATTTTGTATCATGTCTTTTCTCGTGTGTCCACTTATTCACCTTAGCATTCTCATTTCTGCCACTCTTACTTTTTTCTCATGTAGTTCCTTTAAGGCCCAACATTCATTACCGTATAGGATAGTTGGTTTTTCCCTATTTTAACCACCCAGCTTGTATTTTGTGATTAACATCTTCATCAATTTCTCCATCATTTTGTATAATCAATCCCAAGTAACTGAAATTGAAAACTTGTGGTATAATATCATTTCCAAGCTTAACTTTCAACGCATGATCCTCATTTTATTTTTTGCTAAACCTACAATGCATATACTTTGTCTTACTTCTACTCAAGGGAAAACCCTTAGATTCTACAGTCTCTCTCCGTAACTCCAATTTAACATTAGTCTCTTTCAGATCCTCGACCAACAGTCCAACACTATTTCATTTTCATCTGCAAACAGAATGCACCAAAAGATAATCTTTTGTATGTTATTTGTAAGCACATCTAAGACAAAATTAAACAAGGGCTCAAAGCCTCCAAAAGTTCTTACACATATAGTTACTCACTCATACATGTCTTGTAAAGCCTAAGGTAGGTTTAGTTTAAAGGTTAGGCTAACTGGACATCAAAACCTACTCAAACACAATAAAGCATGAATGAACTTATAAAATATTTTACTCCTCAGAACAACTACATAGCCCTAAGTTATTGAACAATTTGTTACAACTGTTATCAGTGCATTTATTATATTGTATATTCAAGCAGATTTGACAAGCATATAAGGCTCTAGTCTAGTGTACTAAAAAACATTAGTTTTTATTTGACTTCTGATATTCAACAAGAGAATTACTAGCACAAAAAAAAAACATAAATTAACTACTAAAAAACTTAGAATTTAAACACTCAACCAGCATACACATTCAAATTTAAACAGATCATAACATTTTAAAAATAAGAAATTATATATCTTTATAATTCAACAAGACAAAAATAAAGTTGATGTAAAAATTCACTAAATATGCTAATTTCAGTTTATTATCTTCTAATAAAATAATAAAAAATAGTTCCTCAAAAGAACATTCCACCTCCATATCAGAGTAAAATTCCAAATGCATGCAAAAATTTTCAGTCGTGTTAGTTCATTAAGCTTCATATAGGGGAGGGAAAAAATTCAGTATACTTCCCATGAAAAATGTTCAAGTAGGTAGTGACATTAAAATATGCTCAAAGTGGATAAAAATAACCTCATCCAGATATATATGACCAACAAGGCCTGCATCAATTTTAGTACTTGCCACATGACTTCGCTGTGGTTGGTATCTGCAGATATGAAACAGGAGCCCCAAAAGATTTACACATCAATGCCTTTTTCAATAATGTAAAATATCACAACTTACATGAATAATGCAAACTCTTTTACCCTTAACAAAATTAGTAATAGATAAACATGAGATCAGGCAAAGTGCATAAGAGCACTTAATATCCTCCCCAACACAATAAATAACTAAATATTCAAACAGTGTAAACCAAAATTATATCATGTCTGCCACATCAGCAATCATAACTAGCAGTTTCAAAATAGAAGAAACATGGCTTCTTTGGCAATTTCTCAAGCCTGATTGAAGAAAGTTGATACTCCTTACATGAGGGGAGATTGAGCAGCAGGGCTGCACTCTTGCTGCATCTCTAGTGTTCCTTGATTTATATACGATTTTCTGTTCCAAAAGGTATCTTGCTGCCCCTAGTTGTATATACAAAACTCTTTTTTCATTTGATACAATTACTTCCACCATTTCAAAATCATTGTCACCTTAAAGGTTTCGGTTTGTTGTCAATTGTCACTGTATAAAAGCATGAAGGCATACTTTTTCCAACTTTATCCATTTCTTCTAATACCTCCTCCCTTCGTAAAATGAGATAAAATTACAGATATGAAAAGTAATATAGACAAATTAACTTATATTTTCATGAAAACTGAAAATATTTCAGGACTATCTTAATCCTTGCACATATGCAAATCCTTCAATAGGGCTCCCCAAACTTAACTATCCCACCATTTTCCAAGTTTCCCTAGTGATCCCATCCAATTCTGCATCCTAATAATCCCCAGTGTACTTGGGATTATGAGGGCAGCAAAATCCATAACATCATGCAGCACTACGAGAGAACTTGCAACGTTGACAGCACAGACAAATAATATTCCATAGTATCCAGGCATAGCAAGATGCATAACTACACTAGTTATGCAGGCAAGCACATATTGACAGGCATGAGTGCAACTAAAACCATTGACAAAGACTATGCATGGTTGGTCCATGCCTTGTAAGCAACAAGAAAATTTTCTTAACTAGAAGAATAGAGTTAAAATGTATAATACGAAAAGAGGCAACTTACTCAATGATGAACTCTACTGCTGCATCTTTGAGACTGACTTTTCTCAATTGATTTTTAACTAAATACGCAGCATTTTCACGGCAATAACTCCTTCCACAATCACAGTCATTCAAATACAAAATTACACGGCGATCAATCGGTTCATTTCTAAAATTGACCTTGCAGAGTAATATTTCCTGAAGATAAATGCATAAATAAAAATTTTAAGGAAAAATCAACTATTGAGAATAGAAAAACAGATGTCCATCATTCACATGGAAGAAATAACTACCTTCATCAACTCCCATGAAGAATTGCTACTAGGAGTAGCATCAAGGACAGCCTTATAAGCAGGATTTGACATAGAAGTTGCAGCTAAGACGCCTACAGGCTCACCAGCAGGGAATAAGTGCTCAGTTTTATCACCAGCTTGTATCCCATACTCAAATTGGATAATGGAATTACTACAAACATTTCTTACAGTTCCATCATAACAAATCACAACATCCCGAAGGATGGCCATCAAATTCTTAAACAGAGTTCCTGGTTCAGATAATCCCCTAGAAGAGCGCACAATTATTTCTCTTGTTGAAATTGAATGCACCATCTCTTCATATGGATCCAAACCATGATAAAAACACCCTTTGAGTAACCCATACTCAGCAGAGGGATATCCATCCCCATCATAACAACATTTCACATGAAAATGGGATGCAACGTCTTCAACCAATCCCTTGGAATAGAACCTTCCCCTTTCAAAAAGTTGCTGCCCTAAAAACCCAATCTGTTGGACCACCTTGTCAAGAGCTGATTTACTCTTTGAGTCAATCAAATCACCTAGCTTAGTTGACTTCAGAGCAAAAGTAACAACAGGAATTTCAACATCACGAATGTGCTTCTCCAGTTGCTGTGCCACCAGCTCATTGTAAATGGACCTCAGCTGATACAACAGAGAAGAAACCTTCCCAATGCTTCTATCTATAATTCTTTTTACTGCCCTGGATATTGAAAAATCTTGCAGGCCAACACTAAACCCGTCAGCAAATAAGCTTTCCATCAAAAAGGGCTGCATTACATCAAAAAATTTTAGTGCCTCCTTTGGACCTTTCCCAAAGAAAATTGAGGCTGCTATTTCATTTATCGTTGCAGGCAGAACTTCCCTGTTGAAATCAAATTCTAACATTTCACTCTGCCTAATCAAGTACCGGCCCCCAGTGCAATCAAAAGACAAAGGCAAAGTACACTGCAACATTTGGATGGAAGTCCAGTAAGAATCACCAGAACTGGTCTTGAGCAAAGCAGGCCGTGGCAAAGGCAGTGAAAGAAACATCGCCAATTGATTAGCTGCTGCTCTATCAAAGAAACATCGCTTGACCAAAATCTTCAGTGACAACAATGAATCTGTGGTTAATTGCAGGTTCAAATTACCACTGTGAGAGCTGAGCAGCTGATTCTCTACAGAAAATAGTTCCACTACTTCAGCTTTAGCAGCAAGTGACTGTGGATAAAACAGGTGGACACAGTCACCATCAAAATCAGCACCAAGGGGTCCACAAATTAGAGGATTTATTTTCACAGTGTGGTCATCATGGATGTAGACATTAAGTGCTTGTAACGAGTGTTTGTGTGTAGTAGGAGGTCTGTTAATGAAGACAATATCCCCATCCATAATTCTCCGATGCACTGTCTGACCAGGCTTAAGATATATATGTCCCTTTGAGCCCTCCCTGAGTGAATAAGTTGACACACCTTCCTTGTAGGTAAGGCACAAACTTTCATCAACTAACTTCTGCAAATAACTTTGGTTATGCACGTTAACTCTCTCCTCAAATGTTATCCGTTGGGCAACTTCAACTGGTATTCCTACTTCATCTATCCTCTTATAACCATCACCAGTTATCACATTCCGGGAAGAAAAACCTGAACCCTTTCTTATAAATAAAGTTCGCATTTTCTCAAGCCATGCTTTTGTCGATGATTCATTAAGCTCTTTATTGACCCCAAAACGTGTTTCTATATCACGTGTTGCCTTAGAAGTACCCCTAACTTGAAGATACTGATCAACCACTGACTGTAAGTCATTTGCTTCCACGTGATGGGACTCAAAGTTTGGTTCGCCAGACCTAGAATTTTTTATGATTTCAACCTTTCTAAGCAATTTTCGGAGAATTGTTATGGAAGGATCCTGCAAAGCAACAAATAAATATAGGTTACCAATGCACTATGGCAAGGATGAAATCAAAGCAGTGTTGCTCAAGCGAGAAAGCGAAAGAAAATCGAGAGTTTCAATAATCTCTGCAATTCATTTCACATAATGAACTTGGAATGGAGTTCTTAAACTTGTGTGTGTAATTATAGTTCAGAATCCAATATCTGTTATCAAGTCCAGTGCAACAGACATAAGCAGTTACTCTGTTGCTGCAACAGATTTTGATAACAAAGATACCAATAGCAGAAAATAGAATTAACCATAATAGAGAACAGAACTAACTACTTGTTGCACGTGTGAGACATTCTCTGATATAATAACATTTTCATTTGCTCACCGAAGACATGACACTGATGCCATCAGAAACTACAGGCACAGACAAACAATTTGGTGGTACAGGAAGAAACTTCAAAATATATCCATCTTGAGGAAAATATCCTTTTTCAGCAAGCTTTTTTTTTGTCTCTATTGGAATTCTCTTGATAATTTCCATCACCTGTTAGATAATTTGACAAGCAAAAGCACACAACTATTAGCCTGAAACACTCAATGATAGAACAAGGTAACACCCAATCATAAACATTTTAGGAGTAGAAATTTCAATCATTTAGAAAATGCAAATGAAATTTCTATCGGTGTAATGAAACAAGAAAAAAATATTTTTTAAACTGACTTTTTTAAAAGTGAAAAAAAATAATTTTTTTTTCCATAATATTAGTGTGTCCATTCATATAGAGGTGTCAACTCAAGTGTCCACTGATTAAAAAAAATTTCTTAATTGGACACCTATTAAGGAGTGTTGAACATGTGTCAAACATGTCAGGAGGTGTATGTGATAGAAACATGTCCGACACTAAGACACTTTAACAACACAGGTGTCCGTGCTTCATAAGAAGGCTGTGAACCAATCTATGGAGCTTTGCTCTGTGGTACAGTAGATTTTTCGTGCTTCATTTATAGCCTTTCTCAATTACAAATACAAATCATAAATAGCTTGGTTTCTTGGTCTGACAGAGAACATGATGCCACAGGGCAAAATAATGCCAAAACCAAAAATGCAACTATAAGAAGATCAATGTCTCTCTTTGAAGGCTGTCTATGCAAACATTGCCACATGACATTTTAAAGAAATAATAAACTGACACGTAGCAGGAGAGAAGAGATAGAGAAAACGAGAGGAAAAAGAATAAACATAAAGAGGCCTAGTAAAATAGAGGATATAGTAAATTACAAAGATATAGTAAATTGAGCAACATATACACATACAAGTAAAATAAACTTGCCATTTCAAGCAATAAAGTAATTAGGGAGGTTAGTTGAAACCAAACCTCACAAGGAAGTAAGGCTCGAGTGTGATCACCCTCATATCGATAGCCATATTTTTCGAGAAAACTCCAAAATCCAGCATGCATCTTGGACTTGGATACCTTCAATGCCAGGTAACAAGCACCATCACTTGTTTTACACTCCCGAATAGACACTTGAGCAGCATTAACTTCCTAAAAGGAAGAAATAAATATCATGAATCTAGGCAATGAACGAATTTTTATTAAGGATGGGACATCCACAATTCCACATAATTTGGATTGCAAAAGAAAATTATGCAATTTGTTCCTACTAACCTGACAACAAGAAGATAATAATCTCTGTGCCAAACCACTGCTTGAAGCTGCAAACTGATAGGTCGTGAGCCAGTAAGATCAACCACACAAAATGGTATAAGATGAGGTTGAATTCTTGTATTAAATCTAACACAGAAAATGCATGATGGCAAGACTATTATAAAAATTAAGACAAGAAAATCAGTAAATCTTATACAGGAAGTCTTATCTTCAACATGAGACCAGGAGGAGGGAGGAGGGAGGCGGGGGGAGAATATGACCTAAACAACAAAATTGTAATACTTTAAGTAATTTAAAAGTTTCCTAAAGGATCTAAAGTAATCAAGTCATAGTTTCTATTGTACATACAACCTCAATCATAACATTCTTTTTTTGTTTTTGGTTTCCCACTCACCCTTATGAACCCATTTATTTCAATTTTCAACCTTTATTTATATGAACAACAATTTTATTTTGAAACATGAATCATTTTTCAAATTTTTAATGTGTTTGTTTAAGCTTTTGACAAAATTCAGTATCTAAAATAAAATAAATTTCTGATTACAAAGATAAGCTACTTTAACTAACATAAAATTAAAACTACCTTTTAAACCCTATACCATAAATAAATTTGTCAAAAAGAATATATTAATAACATATTTGCACATTCAATAACCAACTTAATAGTACAAATTTGTTTCATAATTATTTTACGTAATTGAAAGAATATGATTCAAACAACCATTTAGAGAATCTATATTAATACAAAAAAATTATAAATAAATATATATATATATATATATATATATATATATATAACAACCCAAATATACATTAGCATTATTATTCATAGCATTTCTTTAAGTGTCAAGTCAAAAAATATCTATAAACAATTTAACAACTGTAAGACGTACTTTAATTATCAACATTCAGCATGATTGAATTACAAACAATTTAAATATTTCTTTTTATAAAAAAAAAAATGTGACAAACTTGTACACAACAGATTTATTTTAATTTTCAAGTGCTACAAAAGGATTATCAGCAAAGAAATATTATGCAATATTACCTAAAAACAAGTTTAGGTAGCAAATTGATATTGAAATTAATTACTCAATGAATTATAAAAACTAGTTAATACAATTAAATAACCTTATTTTAATGCAAAACTTACTTTTTCGAATAGAAGTAAATGTCTAACTAAAACTTACATGCCTATGAAGGTTTAATTTATTTAAAACTTAGTAGACATTATAACCAACATAGTATCACTTGACACTTGACACAACTGTTAGATTTATTAAATTAACATTCTATAAAAAGTTAGTAAGTGGGTAAGTGTTCAAGAATTACCCCTAGTGTAAATGGATCCCTTCCCTTATCTAATATATGTTGTGCTTTTGTTTCTGACAGTCATATAGGTTAGAAAGATTGTAGTGTATCAATAAAATAGTGTTAAATTACATAGAACTGACTGAGAAAAAAGAACATGGAAAAGGGATAACAATTGTAAGTCTATGATTCACAATTGAAAATGAGACTAGTTAATCAACATTTAAGAAATTAGATTTTAAAAGCTTTTTACCATGTGAAACATATAATAGTACATGATTTTTATTTTTTTTTGGGATGACAACAGAAAGAGAAGATGGAAAATAAAAATTTATCACAAGACATATGGCCTTTCTGGAGCCTTTCAAATCAAACAAATAGGTTAAAGATCAAAACACCACTAAAAACTCCTACTACAACTTGTATTATGAATTAGTTCAAACAAGTTATATAGACACAAAAAAAATGAAAAATCTCATGTTCATATTCCATATGGGCAATACCTTGGTTTTCTTCATTTTTAAGCAGTTTAAGCAAACCAGGCTCAGCATTCGTTTCAATTCACTAACATGACTAGGATGATATATTGGAACTGGTAGCTCAATATATCCAAAGTGACCTGAAAAGTAATATCAAATTACTTTATTTGAAATACATAGTTTTTCCATTTAAAAATCAGTACATACCATGAGCAAATAACAAACCTTCACATTTTCCTGCTTCAGAAGTACCACAAGATTCACATCTGCCAAATTCAAGGGGCAGCCCAAGGAACGGATTTGACAGCTGACTAGCATGACTAATTGAAGAGTCACTAATTGATGCTGTACACTATTAAAGGGCAAAAGCAGAAAATTTCCCAACAAATTGATCAAAACCAAATAAACATTGAATAAGCCATAGCTTCATTTTGCATTCAAAAGATTGAATTTAAAATCTTACAGAACTTTTGATTAAAAAAGTGGTTTTTACATAAAAATGAATCAAAACCAAAATAAATAAATAAATAAATAAAATTAGACCATACATTAGCAATGGCATAAATAAATTTCAACAAATGTCAAAAACAAAATAAATATTACTCCAAACAAAGTCCTTAAAGAACCCAGAAGAAAACACTACAAACGAAAAAACTAGCAACTATTTCCTAAAATCCAAGCATGCCATCCTTCATCCTTGGCATTGACCATAACATTGTCCAAAACTGATACAAAGTTATCTCATTTCAGTTAATTCATAAAGAAATGATGTTCCATAAGCTGACTGAAAATAACAGACCTCAACTTCTCTACAGATTAGCATTTAGCAGACATACAGTTTAATGGAAAAAATGAATGTATTTTGTGCTTACAATTTCCTGGCGTGTAGCCATACCAAATTTGATGCCAACAACAATCCCATCTAAAACACTTGAGGGAGGATTATCCTCCATTACTTCCATGGTAAATCACAATGCCTGCAGATAGTTAAGTCAAAGTTATGGTTATTTTTGTAAACCTCACAAATTTCAACAGAATTATAGAGGAAAGGAAAATAAACAATCAATGGAACAGGAAACTACTAGAAAGGTAACCCAGTATAACTTTAAGGAAACATTTATAGCATTTTTGCCCTTTATGCACAATTTCACAGAATCATTCAAATAAAACAAGTCTGTAGAGACAGCAGAGAAAGAATACATCAGGCATGCCCAATAAAAGTTAACCACCAAGAATGTCTGAAGGGATTACTAGATATCGCATATTGTTTACCAAAAATAAATCTTTTAAAAATCAACTAGTCATGTACCCTATCCAAGCAGCAATGCTTCCATTATTACTTGGAAGTCCTACCACCTTAAGAGCACTCCCATGCAAAACAACCAGTTCAGACAATGTCAAAGTCATTCCTCAACCAATTCCCATCAAGGAACTTGAAGAACAGAGAGATTACGCTGAACTGTGAGTCTATACCAGACCACACAAAGGCATATTTATAATTTTGTAGTTGAAGATGTTAATAATTTACAACCACGGCTGCATTATTAATTTTAGTAATTATCCCCTGAAAACAAGATTACTCCTCAATTAGGGCATTAATTGCCTTTACACACATAAATTCAGTAACCACTCCTCGAGATAACTCAGTCAACAATGAACTCCTCTACCAACACTAACCAAAAGCATGCAAGCGTTTCATCATTTATCTCAGCTCCCTCCTACCAATCTATAATCAAAAAAATAAATTAAACGAAAACAAAGCTCACTTAACCAACCTTTCCATTTCAAAATGTTAGATAAACTCGAAACTTCAAAATGAAATAAGAAGGAAGAGCTTGACGAGAAGTTCAACACAACAGAGAGAGAGAATGAACAATGGCTTCAAATTTTTTCCCAGAATGAAGAGCTTCAGGGAAATATAGCTAGTCAAAGTAAAATCTAACCACAAATAGAACAAAAATAAACACACAACACATACGATTCTTCTACCTGTTTCTTACCTCAGAAACAAGAAACCGCGAGGAATTCAAGCGACTAACTCAGGTGAACGCAAAACCCTAAGCCCTAAAAATGTACAAGAAAATGCAAAGCAAAACGGGTGAGCAAGTCACGGAATCGGCACTGTAACGCGAAAGAGAGCGAAGCGCTTTTGCATGGAACTCCAAAATGCAGAACAACCGAGACACAGAAACGAATACCTGGTTGAAGGAAAATCAATTTCTCACTGGTGAGAGCGCGTGAGAGAGAATGAGAAAGAAAACAAGAAAATGAAGAAATTAGAGTGCGTGAAGGAGTGTGAGAGAGAGTGAATTTTGGGTCCTGCTTTTGTTTGCATGAAACGAATTTTTCGCTTTCAACGAAAAAACTAAAAAAGAAAATGATTTTGCATTTTGCTCTAGTGTAGTGTAGTGTACACTTCGGAATGGGATTTTGGGAGCGGGGTTTTGGTGATTGAATGACGATTTTACCCTCACTGACTCATGTTTGTACGTTGGGATTGTGGTGGCATTATTGGGATTCTAGCTGGGAGAAAGTGAAACGTTCGTACCCAGTGTTACTTCATAAATGAACTTAACTGCGGTTAAAAAAGTTTCCACCCTAGTTAATGTTTATTCACATAAAAAATTATGGGAATTTAAGGAATTCCGGAATAATTTTAAATTCTCTTTTTTCATTTTTATAAAATATTTTTATTTAATAAAACGTATTAAATATGTTTGAATAGTTTAATAATCATTTTAATTATTATGTATATTCTTTTAATCATTAAACAAAAAGAGTATTAAATAATTTTTATAGTTTTGAGATAATTAATGCTTGATCTTTTTATTTAATATGATTTCATAAACATATTTCTAATGTATTTAATGACACAGAATAAAAATATATGTAAAGTAAATTTTTTATAAAAATAACATAATATCACCAATTTTAATACATTAATAATATTTAATATTATAGTCTTTTATAAAAAATTATTATTTCTTAATTTTTTAAAATATTCATGATAGTGTTACAAAAATTATATATATTCTGTTCGAAATTAAGTCAAAAATATTAACTATATTATTTACAAAGAAAAATATTGTATAATCAATTTTGTAATATCTAAAGAAGAAAAAAGCTTCTATTGGCACCATTATTCACTACTAATATACAAAAAGCATAATTGATTTGTTTACTTTCTTTTCTACATTATATCAAATGTTACATGCTCTCTCTAACTAATTTCTCTCTAATTTTCATTATGCTCCTTCTTATTTCTCTTGATAGACTTATTTATTTTTTTTATGTTTTTTTAAAAAAAATCTTAAAATAATATTTTTAAAAAAAATATTCTTTATCTATGATCTTTTTTGTTACATCAAAAGCTGTTTTGCAATCTGTATTGACGAAATATATATTTTTTTAATTTTTAAATATTATTTCATTTCAACATAGACGAAACTATCAGAATGCACCATGTGTCATCATCTAGTGAGTTTCGCCTACTACAGAGACAAATTTCATAAAATTGTGTCATGTGTCATTATCTGAATTAATTTACGAAATTGGTTAAAAAAATTTATATTTTAATATTATATTAAAATTTATTAAAAATAGAAAATTATAAAATTTAAGAATAAAAAAATTATATAATTTTTAATTAACTTAATTAACAACTACAAATATATTAAAAATATATATTAAAATTATACTATGTATATTGTATGGCGTTAAAAAAAATATCTGCTAATAAAATTATAAATTTAAAAATAATTATTTTAAAGTGTGAACCATATTTTTTTTCTTTTTTCAAACTAGTTTTGTAAATTAGGTGTGATTTATATAATAAATATATATTTTTATTATTTTTTTTATAGTTATTTTTTTCTTAAATTAAATATGTTTATAATTATATCAATGGGGCTGATTTATTATTTTAATATTTTTTTAAAAAAATTCTTAAAATGGTAATTTTTAAAAATATATTTTTTATCTGGAATTTTTTTTTGTCACGTCATTCATCCATTATTTGGACAAAACATATTTAATTAAAAAAATTAAATATTTAATTAAAATGTATTAAAAAAAATCATATTTAATTTAAGAATAAATTATTAAAATTTAGATAATTTTTAATTAAATTAATTAATAATTACAAATATATTAAAAAATATAGTGTTAAGAATTTGTTAACCTTAGTTTAAATATCTATAAAAAAAAATAAAAAATACATATTTATTATATAAATTATTAAGATTTTTAAATATCACACCTAACTTACAAATTAATTTGAAAAAAGAAAAAAAAATGTGACTCACACTTTAAAACAATTACTTTTAAATTATAATTTTATTATCAAGTATTTTTTTTAGCGTCATACAGTATACATAATATAATTTTAATATACATTTTAATATATTTGTAGTTGATAATTAAGTTAATTAAAAATTATATAATTTTTTATTCTTAAATTTTATAATTTTCTATTTTTAATAAATTTTAATTAAATATTAAAATATAATTTTTTTCTTTTTTTTAACCACTTTCGTAAATTAATCTAGATCATGACACATGGCGCAATTCTGTAAGTTTCGTCTCTGCAGTAGGCGAAATAGCATTTAAAAAATAAAAATAAAAATTATTCAGACAGTATGCGAAACAGCTCTTGACATGACAAAAAAGACCGGAATATATTTTTAAAAAATATTATTTTAAGAATTTATTTTTTAAAAAACATTAAAAAAAATAAATAAGCCCTCTTGATATATGTTTTTGAAATCCAATGACTAAATTAGATTGGCCTTGTCCACTTAGACTCATGGGGCCTAACATTGCCACCTTACTCATCAATTGAAACATTGTCCTCGAGACTAATATCTAGAAATTGAATGTTTCCCAAAGTAGCATCTTCAGTAGATTGTCCTTTCCACTTGATTAATCACTAGGGAACAACTCTATAATGTAGAGAAAACTCAGGTCTAAAAGAAGGATGCTGTTATAAATCTGAAAGCATCTTCTACATAAAAGGATCTTGTTGGATTTCTTCTTGTATTTTCTCAAAATCCAACACTTCAAAGTCATATTCTAACAATTTTGTAAGTCAATAATTGTTGGTCTCGAGTCGTGATTCGTTGCTGCAACAAATGCCTCAAACTTCTCTAATAAGAAAAATCTTTAAAATGATTTTCAAATAAATAAGGTCTCCGGTGTTGAATTGTCAAGACCAATGCCTTGAGTTTTTTATGATATGCAGACTTAATTGAGTTTTTATTAGAAAAAGATTTACTAAAACAGGCTAAAAGTTTACCTTCCTGCATCAAAACTGCTCCCAAACCTTTTTCATTTATGTCACACTCGATTACAAACTCTAATAAAATTTGAAAACCTCAAAACTAGAGCTTTTGTAATAATTTTCTTCAACTCATCAAAAACTACTTGAGTTGCTTTTCCCCGTTGAAAGTCTCCTTTCTTAGTAAGGTATGTTAAAGGTTTGGCAACTTTGTCATAATATTTAATAAACTTTGTATAATATCCTATTAGTCCAAATAAGCCTCTAACTCCTCTTATAAACATAGGAATTGGCCAATCCATAACCCCTAAACTTTCTCAGGATCCATGGCCACTCCTTTTGCTGAAGTTATATGACCAAGATACTATATCTATTGTTTATCAAATTAACACTTCTTCTAGTTTCACCCCCAACTCATGATCATGGAGGTAGACTAACCGCTCAACTTCCTGCTCTTCTTGATTTATAAAGTTGAAGAAAGAATCCTTTCTTCCTCCAAGAATAGACTCACCCTTCAATTCAACACTTTTTTCATCCCATTCAAATTTCATGATTTGCTGCCCCTAATTAGTAGTAACTTCTCCCAATGTGGCCAACCATTCCACACCCAAAATTCAGTCAGTCTCTTTTATATCAAACACATAAGAATTTATGTATATTTCCAAGTCTTCCAAGTCAACTACTACTCCACTACACCTTCCTTGCACCTTTTTTCAGTTCTCATCTCCTAATCTGACTCCCACCTTTGCACTGTTCCCACACTCTAACCCTAAGGGCTCCACAATCTTCATTAAAATGAAATTATGAGAAGCTCCACTGTCAACCAAAATTACCAATGCAACTCCCTTGATTTTTCCTTTTATTGTTATAGTTCTTTGCTGAAATTCAACTTCCTAAACCTGATAACAACCAAGAGTAGAACACTTCAGCTCTCCACTAGGATGCTCCTCCATCTCCAAGGCTAATACCTCCTTCTCCCCCTCCTCTCATTGCTCATCATCCACAACGGCTAGCTTAAGTTGTCGCTCACGGCATTGATGCATAGGGTGAAAGTTTTGGCCATATTTGAAACACAACCCATTTTGTTTTCTCTCCGTTAGTTCACCATATGTTAAGTGACACATTCTTCAGTCTTTCCCATTATTGACTCACCTTTCTTTAACCCTAACATTACCCAAACTTCCCTTCCTCCTTTCGAAACTCTCTATTTTGTGTTCCATTTGAATTTCCACCAAGTCATGTCATAGACAAAGGCTTTATTAGGGCATCCAGCAAGTTAGACCAAATTGTGAGGGACCAAATCAAAGATATTAACTATATTATTAACAAAGAAGAAAAATATTGCAAGATCAATTCTGCAATACCCATAGTAATGCTCCAACAAAGATTCACACCCTTGTCCACTACTAACATACAAAAGCACAACTGACTTGTTCTCTCTCTTCCCCACATTATATGAAAAACATTGCACATTCATTTGCTCTCCATAACTAATTACTCTCTAATTTCCATTTTTCCCTTTCTTATTTCTCCTGTTATATGTTTTTCCAAATCCAAGGCCCATGACTAAGTTGGATTGACCTTGTCCACTTAGGTTCATGGGGCCTAACATTTTCAATTGCATAACAATAAATACAGGACATCAAATTGCTAATAAAAGCGTAAAAACTTGACAATTACCAAAGTGATCGCTACATTTTCTCACAACATTTAGAAGGCACAATGGCAATAACCTTCTCAGCTAGCAGTTCCCCTTATTGACTCTCCTTACTTATTCACCATTGCAGTGTATTCATGCCCAGC